CCGCGGACAACCGTCCGATGAAGAATCGATGGGTAATAGCAGCTCACAAAGGCGAACCGGTATCTTCATGGGTGAGCCGTTGGATAGGAGTCAACGGCTGGAGAGTCATCCGACATGCAGAAACAGGTGAGCAGCGTGTAGTTCTTGAGTTAACATTATGGAGCCTGGCAATACCCCCCGAATGAAACAGATTTTGTCCTCAGGCGTGAAACAGAAAACCTTCCGAGTGAAGGCCGAATCTTCCCAAGTAGCTGCTTCGACAGGCATGTTCATTGAATAACCAGTGCACAACTGGAATGCTGGTGTTGCCCCAACGGCCAAGGTATTAATTTTCTCTCTAAAATGGCTCCAGGCTCCATTTTGATGAGTCCAGTTGCATCCAGCAAAGGAAGGTATTTTGTAGGAATGACATGAGAGCTAATGTGTTTCTTCAGTTGACTAACATGGAGGGTATGATGCAACTGACACCCCTCTGGAAGTAAAAGCTTATATGTTGTGTTGCCAACCTTTTCTAGAACTCTAAAAGGGCCATAGAACTTAGAATGCAGTTTCAGAAACATGTGTAAGCTCAAGAATGTATGTATGTATGGTTGTAACTTTAAGTAAACCATGTCTCCCACCAAGAACTCTATATCTTTCCTTTTCTTATCAGCGTAATGTTTCATTCTCTCTTGTGCCTTCAACAAATTCTCTTTGGTTACTTCCCGAGCTAGCTCCCTAGCTCTCTCCTATGGAGTAAAGTGTCACTGTCGGGCAAATAGTGTTGGGGAACGTAGTATTTCAAAAAAAAAATTCTACGATCACGCAAGATCTATCTAGGAGAAGCATAGCAACGAGCGGGGAGAGTGTGTCCACATACCCTCGTAGATCGAAAGTGAAAGCTTTTAGTAACGCGGTTGATGTAGTCGAACGTCTTCGCGATCCAACCGATCAAGTACCGAACGCACGGCACCTCCGCGATCTGCACATGTTTAGCTTGGTGATGTCCCTCGAACTCTAGATCCAGCTGAGGCCGAAGGAGAGTTTCGTCAGCATGATGGCGTGGTGACGGTGATGATGAAGTTACCGACGCAGGGCTTCGCCTAAGCACTACGACAATATGACCGAGGTGGAAAACTGTGGAGATCATTGTGTGTCTATGGGGTGCCCCCTCCCTCGTATATAAAGGATGGGAGGAGGAGGCCGGCCGGCCACAAGGGGTGCGCCAAGGGGGAGGAATCCTACTCCTAGGTAGGTTTCCCCCCTTTCCTAGTCCAACTAGGAGAAGAGGGAAGGAGGAAGGGGAGAGAAGGAAGGAGGGGGGGGGCGCCGCCCCACCCC